TCCTCCTCCTCACATACAAGATAATCAGACCCCATCTTATCTTAATGACTTTATAGTACCATATAACCCAATTAGAGCACTTCGCTGTCTGACTACAGGATTACCTGTGGTTCTAATAGTATTTAAAAGTAGACTGTTAGGCAGAACCTTCAGTTTTCAGGCCCCTCCTCTGTGGAACCAGCTTTCACTTTGGGTTTTGGGAGACAGACACTATTTCTACTTTTAAGATTAGGCTTAAAACTTTTTCCTAAAGTTCAGGTGGATGGATCAGGTGACCCTGAATCCTACCGGTCAAGGCAGATGCCCCCCCTCCCCGAGCCTGGTTAAATGAATAGGTGTGTCAAAATGTTTGACTGGTAGTGTGTATGTATAGCTTTCAACTTGAACTTTGACATTGATGTCTGCAAAGAATGGTGTCAGCTCAACTGACAAAGTCCAACGACATCTGTTTCTATTTTTAAGATTCCCATTCTTTTTTCCCTCAGGCCCAACAGCTCACAGCACCTATAACAAGTGCTTCCAAGCTGCAGACCCAGAAGCATCAGCTCTATCTTCTTAAGGATGGAGAGAGCAGCGGGTACATCTCATATCCCTTCCTCAGCTTTCACTTATTATTCAGCTTCTCTGTTTCTCTCTGGACTGACTGAGTTGGTGTTTTCCAGCGGGACCTGGTCAGATGAGTCATGTTGAAATAACAAATCATGTACTGTAGCATTGAGACATAAAAGACACTGTTTTTAATGTATATCACAGGAGCTCACCTCAGTAGATATTTGTATTACTCACTCAGTCAAACTAACCCCTATTCCTGTCTCCTAACTGCAGGGGACGTGGTGTGGTTGTGGGATTTCTGAAGGTTGGCTACAAGAAGTTATTTTTGCTGGTGAGTCACTTATATTTTTTTTAAATTTCCTTTTAACTTCTTTCCTTTCGGCCTTGGTGTGATCTGTATTTGACTTTCTGAAAGGCTTTTCAGGTATGCTTGCTATATTTCCTCCACAGGACCGGCAGGGTGTGCACGTAGAGGCAGAACCACTCTGTGTTTTGGATTTTTACATAGCAGAGAACCTGCAGCGAAATGGCTATGGGCTTGAGCTATTTAACTTCATGCTACAGGTAGAGAATACTTTAGGAATCCCTGAAACCATCTGAAACATCAGACCTTTCACAAAAAGAGCTAAAAACTGGAATGATATGATAGTGGTACCTAAAATGATGACACTAGTATTGCAGGTCATTGCTGTGTGTGTTTATCGGTAATTGCATGTTTTTGTTTCTCTGTCTTTCTCCATCTACCACCTGTAGCACAAGAATTTAGAGCCAGTGCTGATGGCTTATGACAGGCCTTCACCTAAATTCCTGTCTTTCCTGGCAAAGCATTACTGCCTCACGCAGAGTGTTCCTCAGGTACGGGCTGCACTTCACACAGTCATTACACTTTTTTTTAAAGCAAATCTTTATTACCTCTGGAGAGCAAAAGAAAACCCTGTAGTTTTTCATTTGAGTTTTAGTGGGGCTTCGCTTGTTATCATGGCTATAATTAGGCTAATCTTGCTCCCTCCTCTTTCTCTTCAATTTTGGCTATTTTTAATACTGCTACTTCTCTATTGTAAAATAAATGGTTGTTTACAAGTTTATCTGTAGTGGAATTTCTGGGAAGACAGGGTACCCCCTGTTTATATAATATAATCAGTTAATAGCTTTACATCTTAGGACAAGGTCAATTTAGATAAGAAACTGACTGAGAAGAGAAGGGTCCAAAATAAGAAAAACAGTGCCAGCACAAGACAAAAACATCCAATGTACAATTCAAATTAGTCAAAATTATATCACCTTACGGTAGTTGCATTACTTGAATTTAAACAGTAGGGTTCCAGTAAAAATATACATGTAACTCATCTGACAAAGGGGGAGTTATCAGCCTGCTTTTCATGTGTTTTTAATGAAATTTAGTTTTGCTGTTTCATGCCACAGGTCAAACAAGAGTTTCTATACTGGATTCCATTCATAGAAATTGACATTATCAACTAATTACTACTCTCAATCTTCCTAAACATAAAAAAAAATCAGGAAATCCCTGATTTGAAAAGTGGTGACACCTGTGCATGCACTGACATCAGAAGGAACACAGTGAGATGGACCTAAAAGATGTATACAGAGTATAAGCTAGACAACACTAGTTACACACTTGGATCCCAAAAGACTACGTATGAGATGAGTTGTAAGTTCAAATGAGGAAATTACAAAGGCCTGATTTAGACCGTTTAGAGACTATAACGTAACTGTAAGTGGCGGACATTGCTGCCTGCATTTTTGCTGGTATAGTATCATTGGGTCATCTCCCAAAGTTTCATATGCAGCCAACAGACAGAAAAGAAATTCCTTCCTAGCTTCTTGCTTGTTGATGTGATCAGTTTTTTGGGGGCAAACCTATTTGTCCCTCTAGTTTTTCCACTTTTTTGTGCATTCCCTCATTCAGGTAGTTTCATCTCTCACCAGGAATTTTCTGACATTTGTGAGTCCTTATATTGATGCTATCATTATTATTCCTTACACTGAGACTGTGATTGTTATTCTCGTACTGATAAATTATAAAACTGCGTTGAAAAAGTAGCTGGAAATGCACAGGAGGAATTGACAGTGCTGACCAACCCATTCAAAATTGTTGCCAATTGTGTCAACCTGACCTGCAATTACTTTTCTCAGGAGTTGCATATCAGGTTACATCATAGGTTACAGTGTAAGGATGTTATTGGTGGACACACCACTAAGACTGGAAATGCAGGGGCTGTCAGGACACAGATGGTTATCTACTTACCTAGTTAACTTCATAAGAAATTTTAGTGATCTGTTTTCTTATTATTCTGTCCAGGTCAATAACTTTGTGGTTTTTGAAGGCTTCTTCCTCAACAGAGCAGGTAACTTTTTTGCCACTTTGATCCCATTGCTGTGGTTCTGCAAGGGATTATTAAATTATATCTGCTTTGTGTTAACATAAGTTATAAGGTGTCTCCCAACAAGCAGCTCCAAAAATGAAATTCTTACTGGTGAAGCCTGTGTTTTCTTAGCATTCTTGATATTTCTGGATATGTTAATCAACACTGGTGGTTCAGTACAAGAACAGTTTGAGTTCAGTTATATAATACTTCACACACTACATCTAGTAGTTTTAAAGTAAACAGGTGCTTAGACACAAAGTAAACACACAAAGTTTTGTCACATGTGTCTTTGTGGAAGAAAAAAAGCCACCTGCAGTAGATTCAGTGGGTAGAGCAGGTCATCTACTAATTGGAAGGTTGGTGGTTCAATCCCTGACTGCCCCACTCTGTGTGCCAAATATTCTTAGACAAGATACTAACCCCAACTTGTTTTGTGATTCATCGATTGATGTATGAATATGTGCTTGTGTGAACAGATGAACAAGAGAAGCTGCATAGAGTGCTTTGGGTGCTCAGGTAGAATAGAAACGCACTATATAAGCGTTTCCAGTGGGGGAATCATTTCGTCGCTCATCCAAGTGTCTTCATCAATCTCACCTGACTGCAGGTTTCTCCAACCTTAAACAGCATTTGCATAATGACTGAAACTAGCACCACTGACTGCAGGTTTCCCCAATCAGCTGCGGTTGAAGAAGTCACTTGGATGAGTAATGAAACATTTCTCCTATGGAAATGCTACGTACAGATGAACATAATCAGCTTCTGGGGATTTCCTTACCTGGATGATTGAGCATGCATCAATGATTCAGTAAAAAGGACTAGAGGTTACAGTCCCTGATAATGCATTGCTTTAGATGGAGAGACTCTTGAGGGATGGCTGTTATGAGGAAAGGCGGCCCAGAAACTTTGCCAGCAGCACGCATCGTTGTGTGCCTCAACTTTCGGTCTTTTACCCAGGCTAATCTGCCATTTTCTTTCCTTGGTTAGGTTTAGGGATTAGAGATCTGATCTAGTTTATCATTTTAAAATTTGGTACACATCGTCAGTAGTGGACCTTTGATTCATCGGGTGTTTCGGCCGTTATCACTAGACACCCTCATCCAAGGAGGCCCTGCCAGGGTTGATCAGGCCCTGGAGTGTGTCACTGGTTTATGTTAACTTGTTATTTCTCTTCTTCTTTCTTCTGTTTAGTTTCCTACAGTTTATTTTTTATCTATTCACTGCAACTGAGAAATAATACTTACCTCTTCAGCATTTATGGAGCCTAACATCTTCAAAGGGATAGAAAAGGTGATTGAGACAAAATGGACATGATAGGAGAGAGGAGAGCCAGAAGGTGGCGCCCGATCTGGCTTCCCACACCTCCCCGCCGGATCGGGCTGTACGCTCTACCTCCCCACTGCCTCCCAGAAAAGGGAAGAAGAG